GTTCGATGACTTTATTACTCATCATGGTTTGTTAGATTTTGAGATTGTGGGCACCAGATTCACTTGGTCTAATAATTCAGCTTCCGTCTTGAAATTGTCAAAGTTGGATCGTTTTCTAGTTTAAAGTGTCTAGGATGAGCTTTTTCCCAAGACCATGGTTAGAGACTTGCCTTAGTTTGCCTTTGATTACGTGCTGATTGCTTTGGATACTAATGAGGTAATTTCTTAGCCCCCCCTTTTCACTTTGAACTGATGTGGTTGGAAGATAAATCTTTGGTTGATGTTGTCCATCGTTCTTGGGCTTCTATTATGCCTCATCGCTGGTCAGGTTTCGTTTTGTCCAGCAAGCTTAAGTTATTGAAGAATAACCTTAAGCTGTGGGACATAACCAAATTTGGTTGTAAAGCTTGAACGTGATATCTCCGCCCTTAACTCCTTGGGACAACTTAATGGGGTCTGTCTCAAGATTTGGTGGATGTTAGGAAATCTAAAAAACATGATCTTGGGGCCCTTCCTAGACTTGAGGAAGTCTTTCAGTATCAAAGATCCATATCAAAGTAGGTTAAGGAGGGGAATAATAATACTAAATATTTTCATGCTATTGTTAATTCGAGGAGTAGATCCAACTGCTTCTCTGGATTATTTATCCATGGTGTTGATATGGACAATCCGTTGGCTGTTAGAGATGTCAAAGTTAATTATTTTAACCATGCCTTTTCATCTGAGCCTAGGCTCCCCTTTGACTTCAGGGATGTGCCTTTTAAGGCTCTTTCCGAGGCTTCTGTTGTGAGCTTAGAATGTTAGTTTTCTATTAACGAAATTAGAAAGGCTGTTTTTGGTTTGCCTAGCGATAAGGCCCCTGATCCGGATGGCTTCCCCTTGGCTTTTTTTCAAGAGTTCTGAGAAGTCCTTCAACAAGACATTTTTCGCTGGTTCAACCAATTCTATAATGATGGGATTGTGACCAATACTATTAATTCTACTTTTTATCTATCTTATCCCTAAAAAGGGTCATATTGCTTCCCTTTCTGATATTTGACCGATCAGCCTTCTCTCTAACCTGTATAAGATTTTTGCTAAAGTCCTCGCTAACCATTTTCGCTTGGTGATCAATGAGGTCATTGAGGGACCTCAAACTGCTTTCATTAAAGATCATTATATTATGGACATTATCTTGCTTGCTCAAGGGACTATCCATACCACTGAATCTTTCGGCCTTAGTGGTTTGTTACTGAAGATTGATTTCAAAAAGGCTTATGATTGGGTGGAATGGGACTACCTTGATAATATCATGGCTATCATGGGCTTTGACTCGAAATGGAGATTGTAGATTTGGGGTTGTCTCTCGTTTGTCCACTTCTCGGTCTTGATTAATGGTAAAGCTAATGGTTACTTATGTGCTACTAGGGGCCTCAGACAAGGGGATCCTCTTTCTCACTTCCTCTTTACCTTAGTGGCTGAAGCTTTCAATAAAGTACTGCAGGGATTGGTGGAGTCTAACTACATTAAGGGCTTGCTGGCTTGGCCTAATGAGCTATTGATTAGTCATCTACAATTTACGGATGACACTCTAATCCTTTTAGAATGATCTGATGTTAACGTCCATAATATCTGGATTTTTCTTAAGCTTTATGAATTAATTTCCGAGACTCGTATTAATATGGACAAATCCAAACTTTTGGGTATTAATTGCTCCACCACGATAGTTTCTGATTGGGCTTCTTGGCTCGAATGTCTGGGCTTGCCCCTTCTTAATGGCAGTGCTCCAAGATCCCTTTAGAATCCTCTCATTCAGAGAGCACAAACTAAAGTGGACAGCTGGAAGGCTCGATACCTGTCCTTTGTTGGAAGAATGACTTTGATCAATACTACTCTATCAAACACCCCTATTTATTACCTCACTTTCTTTTAGGCACCTGCGACTGTTATTGTCAAAATTGAAGCTTTAATGCGCAATTTTCTCTAGAGTGGATCCCAGAATAAGAAAGGGATGCATTTGGTCAAGTGGGCGTTGGTATGCCAACCAAAAGTGATAGGTGGTTTGGGCATCCGAAGACTTAGAGGAGTCAATGATTCCCAGCTTGCCGAATGGTAGTGGAGCATGTCCATACATGGAGACCAATTCTGGGCTAAAGTTATCCTTGGCAAATATGGATTGGATCCTGATGGTCCCTATGCAAGGAGAAGACCGATCTCTGGACACTTATCCAGGGTCTGGAAAATATCCAAGGCGTCAAAATCCCCTTTTTGGCCTACTCCAGGTGGCTGGTTGGAGGTGGTCAGAACACTAGAATCTTGCATGCTAAGTGGCTAGGGGACTATCTTCTTAAAATGGTGTTTCCTGCCCTTTACAACAAATCCAACTAGAAAAGATCTATGGTTGCGGACATGGTTTCCCTTGTTCATGGAAAATTGGTTTATAACGTTACTCTGTCCATTAGAATGGTGGATCATCAGGTTGAAGCCCAATTCTTGACTCTCATGGATACTTTGTATTCCCTTTGTTTCAACCCTTGGAAGAGAGATCGGTTGATCTGGAGTCTTGAGCCTTCGGGCTACTTCTCTGTCAAATCTTTCTATAAAGGAATATGGGAGGATAGGTACCTTGAGGATAAAAGGCATCTTGCCAAACTCTGGAAGTGTAAGGCACCCCTTAGAATTACAGCTTTCCTGTGGCTTTTTGCGCAGATTAACTGCGTCGAAGAGACATGATTATTATCAATGTTTGCCTGATGTGTAAGGAGGACGAGGAAACCACTTACCATTTATTTCTTAGATGCAAGTATGCCTTTATGGGACATCACCTTTGGAGAATTAAGATTGTTGCCTCGGACCTTATGGAAAGAGAGAAACTTGCGGACTTTTGAGGATCCAGAGATTCTTCATCCTTAACTTCAGACATTCAGTGATTGGCCATCATATGGGCTTATGCCTCTCTTCCCCTCACTATTGTTCTTAATCTACTTCTCTTCTCCTACTTTAACGACCTTTTATTTATTAAACTCCATTGATCGTCCATTAGACTTGTGTGGTCTAAACCGCCAGTTGGCTGGCTGAAACTGAATTTTGATGGAAGTGTTTGGGCGGTTAGGTCTGGTTATAGTGGTCTTCTTCGTGACCACAATTGATCCGTCATTTGGTCCTATTCAGGACCCTACATGCATGTGAGATCAATGACGTTGAGCTTTGGGCTGTTAAAATGGGAGTTTCATGTCTTGCTCATTTCCAAAGGAAGGTTATCATTGAAGGCGACTCGGGCAATGATGTCTTATAATGTTCCCAGCAATCCTGAGTGCCTGGTGCTGACTTTCTTGCTTGGTGCTGACTTTCTCTTTCTGTTTAGTTTTGGTTTGTTTTTTCCTTTAATTTCTTTTGCATTTCTATTGTGTTTCTTCATTACCTTAATGAATACCTTTATATGTAAAAAAAAAAAAAAAGGAAAAAAAAAATTTCTATTGTGTTTCTTCATTACCTTATTGAATACCTTTATATGTAAAAAAAAAAAAGGAAAAAAAAAAAAACGAGAGATGTGTTAAATTGGGCTGACAGCGGCTCTAGACTAGTTCTCATGGCACAATATGTGGTCTAAGCTCTACTTTTTCGAAGGCTGGGCCGTGCAGATTGGGCTAGACCGCCCGGCCCATTGCGAGTTCTAAACGTAAATATGTTTAGAGATCCATAGATGAAAATCTATTTTAGATTTTTTTGCTGTAAAAGCTTAGAGATAGAATGCTCCCATTTTCTTAATAAGTTACCGTTAATATTTTTAAAAAAAAAAGAAAAAAAGAAAAAAAAAAAATTAGAGAGGGAAAGAGTAGAAACCGAGAGATTAGAAAGGGAATTGGTTGAGCTTAAAGAAGCCTAATTGGTTCATGTTGGGAAGAAATATTGGAGTGTGAGATATTGCAGGAAGAGAGAGTGGGAATATAATTACAAGTGGCGAAGCTGAGTGGTGCTTGGCGTTAGGAGAGATGGCTTTGGGAAGCTTCGCATTACACATGCACGCCTCTTCTCCCTCCCCCACTTTATTACGCCTTCAATGCCCTTTCCATTTTCATCCGAAACCACATACCCCATCCCTACTACGGAGAATATCGAAATTGTCCTCATCTTTTATGGGTTTAAAGGTTTGCGGTCGCTCGTCTTCATGTAAAATACCCAACCCAAATCAAATCGAATGCTCCTATAAATTGGATTTGAATAAATAAAATTTCAACCTCATCTTTTTAAGGTGCATCTCAAAAATAGTTTTTTAATATAAAAATAATATTTAATATATAATATTTAAATAAATATAACTTTATTTTTTAGTTATACTTTTTAACTGTTGTATATATAGATTTTTAATATATTTATGTAATGTATTTAAATACCAAACCAATAGATTTTACATTGTAGAGTGCTTTTTAAATGTCTTAACAAACAAAGTTTGCAAAAGAATTTCCTGCTGAGTGTTTACATATGTAAATATTTTCTTTGGAGAAATATTTATGCACCAACCAAAAATATCATTGGTTAATTAGATATTATTAACTCAAAATTTAGATGATTTTAAATTATCATAAGACATGTTTTATGCTATCAAACAATATATTTGAAATTCTAATTTCCTATGTAAAGAAGCTAGCAGTAATTAAGACTTAACTCTCCCAAATATTCATTGAAATTAAAAGGATTATTTGATTTCTCATTCTTCAATTAAATTTGCGAATTAAATCAAGGTTTGCCTAAGATTTCTCCAAAGTAACATGCAAAATGGCAGTTCCGACCGTTATAATTCTTGAGGAGGTTAACTTCGGTATTTCCTCGATATTCCAAGGTCGTATTACTTATTCTTTGCCAACTTAGCTGTATGCGGCCCCGTAAATCACGAACGTTTAGCCCGAAATCACCCGACTCGGTCCTGCAACTGTCACCCCTCTCTCTCTCTCTCTAAATTTCCAGAAACTTTAGCCCCAAGAACTCATTCTCTCTCTCTCTCTCTCTCTAAGGTTTTAATCTTCTCTCTCTCTAACGTTTTAATCTTCTCTCTAGATTTTTCTACGCCAAATACACACGCTCTCTCTCTAGATCACTATAAATACATATACACGAACCAGCTTTTCCAGAAACAAAGAAACCACTCTGAGTTTCCATTCTCTTTGTTTGCTTTTTCCATGCTCTCTAGACTGCTATAATCTCTCTCTAAATTTCTTCTTGTTGTTGCAAGAGTATCTTCTCTCTCTTGAAATTGTTGTTGCCAGAGTTCATATTCTCTTCTGATTCTCTCTGTGTCGTGGTTTCTTTGGAATCAGCAGACCAAAGAAACCACTTGAAAATCTTGTTCGATTTGGGCTTTTTCTCTCTAGATTATTTGTTAAGAAAGATGGGTCCAAGCGGATCTCTGAAGAGTTTGAAGCCTATCGCTTTAATGGTGGCGGTTCAGGTTGGATTTGCAGGGATGAATATCTTTTATAAGTTAGCCATCAATGCCGGCATGGATTTGAGGGTGCTGGTCGCTTATAGATTCGCCATTGGAGCTGCCTTCTTAGGCCCCATTGCTTTTTTTCTCGAAAGGTTCTTTCTCTCTCTAAAACATTACAATCACTGTCGAAAGTTGAAACCTGCTATCTAAACCTCTTTGCATTGCAAACCATTCTCTCTCTCTAGAATGAGCCCTTCTCTTTCTTAGAAACATTGAAAACCCTCATTTGATGGTTTTCGATTCTTCTCTTTGAGGAGAGAGAAACTCTCTGGTTACTGATTAGTTGTCCTTTCTCTCTCTAGATGAAACAACGCCATCTCTCTCTTTCCGTTTCTACCCACAAAACGTTATGTTTCAGTGTTTCTGTTTTATCATTATTTATTAAGAGACTTCATGCTACTTGTAGAATAGTTTTAAGGTTTTAGGCTTTAACGTAAGGAAAATTGCATAAAACTCAACTTTCTAAACAATTTACCCAACCAAACTTTTGTTAGCAACTTTTTTTTCAAAACTATGTTTCCAACAAATACCCCAACTCGAAAAAAAAAAAAAAACTTTTTGTAGCAACTTTTTTCTCAAAACTATGTTTCCAACAAATACCCCAACTCAAAAACAAAAAAAAAAAACTAAAATACCGTACCCCAATTCAAAAAAAAACTAAAATACCCTCCAGCGATCTATGATTTTGGAAGAGGCGATCCGGCACGTAAGTCACCGATTTGGAACGCGCACGTCATCAAGGTGTTTTTGAGTTTGGAAGAGGGGGTTCAGCATTGGTTTCTAAATTAAATGAGCAGTTCGGTATTTGTAACTTACTGTTAGGCAAAATTGAAAATTTTGTCTCGAATAGGCGGCCAGAATTGATGGTCCGGCCATATACAACCGCAACAGAATTGATGGTCCGGCCATATACAACCGCAAGGTTTAGTTACGTACGAAAAGAGTATTTTTGTAAAAATAAAATAAATTTTTTGTATTGGGGTATTTGTTATAAAACTCAGATTTTTTAAAAAATACCCTAGAAAAAATCAGCAATTTTCCTTTTAATTGTACCCTTCTCCCTGTGAGGACCACACACTCTCTCTCTCTAAAATAGAACAAAAAAAGAATGCCACATAAGCCACGCTTGCATTCTTGTATTTATATGTTGTTTTTTACCCCTTGAACTTCAACTTTTTACAGGAAAATCAGGCCAAAGCTGACTTGGACTGTTCTCTTCCAGACATTTCTCTGTGGGCTTTTTGGGTATGTCCGTTTTTCTTTTCTTTTTTTTCCCTGTTATTATGGGGTTCTTTTCGACCGATGTATAATAAATTTAAAGTGCTTAGGCTAAGGTATATTTGAAAAAGAATATTACTGAAACTGGATATTAGGTTGAAAGCATTAACTTTTGAAGTTTCCAAGCACTTTAAATAAACAGTCTCTTACTGTTCTTGAATATTAGATGAATTTATATAAATGCCACTGTCCGATGTGAATGAATGGTTTGATACCTTCAGCCTTAATATTACAACTGAGCCTTGACTGTTTGATCTATAGATTAACGGCTTAGAGTTTTTAATTTCAATTTTGTTTATAAATCATACGTACATGAAGTTTGGTGCGGATGAACAGTTAAACTAGGTATACCTAAAAAATTATTAAAAAATATTTTTATTTTTGTTGAAACTTTTAAGGGTATTTTGAAATTTTATTTTTAAAAAAACATTTTTTTTTTAATATTTTTGATAGGTACGAGTCAAAGAGGACTGGACAAACCAAACGAAAAAGTTTATATATGGATGCAACTTATAATGTAGAACTACATATGCACTTCCAAAATCCATCGGAGAAGGTAGTTTTAATGTTGAAAAATCCTTTGATTGATCATCTCGACATCGAGATGTATGACCATGAAAATAAAATGATTTTAATTCTTAAAAATAGTGCATTTTACAATATATTATTTTCATATGTTTATAAATCTACTTGATTTGAACCACTTTTGAAATTTAAAATTTTATAATTAGATATAAAACTAGATTTTGAGATAATCTTAAGAACATTTTACATCAAAATTATATACCATTTTATTTGAGGGTGCACCTTACCTCTACAGCTATGGATGCATCCGTATGCCAATTGCACCCCCCACCAAATTTCGTGTCAATATGGTTTGTACAAAGAAACGTTAAAAATGAAATAGTATTTAGGAGCGATATTGTGATTAGAGCCATCTCAGTCTGCTGGGGGGCTGGCATATATAAATTCCTAGGACCTAATGGCATATAGGAAATTTTCCCATTAATAAATTCTATTATATGGATATGCAAATATTACTACATAGTTAAGGAACAAATTTATTGAAAATCAAGCATGGAGTTAGTATGTGAATGTCTGGTTATGTGTGTATTTCAGGGGAACTATGAATCAAAACCTTTACGCTGCGGGGATGAAGCTTACTTCTGCCACTTTCGTGTGTGCCATGACTAATGTAATACCTGCTGTGACATTCATATTAGCCCTATTTTTCAGGTATGAAAATACATCTCTGTTTCCAATGTCGTGAAAAAAAAATTTGGGATGTCAGTTTTGACCTTACCTTTCTTTTTTTTCTTTTGGAATTTTTTCTTTTAGAATGAACCGTGTTGCATTATCCAAAAACAAAATTTATTATAGGTTTTAAGGTTCAAAATCTGTCTTTATTTTCTTTTTGTGGTCAAGAATATTTATATTTGAACCTTTTTTAAATTGATTTTAATATAGATTTTCAGGAGGCAACCGCATTTGAAATGGTGCATCAGCTGATACATTAGAATCCCATCCTTTTAAAATAGGAAAAAGTTTATATAGAGCCGAGGCTCTAAACAATCAAATTAGAGCCTACCTCAAAAATTTCACTAGAAGAGGTTGATTTGATGCCAAATATCCTCAAATTGATCGACATCAAGATGCATGGACATGAGAAAAAAATGGATTTCAAGTTTTAGAAATAGTGTATTTTGTAACGCATTTTTGGATCGTCAATTTTCATGATTTTCAAGTTTTTATAGATTTGTCGATCCACACTATTTTTAAAGCTTTAAAATTTATAAATAAAGATAAAAATATATTTTAATGCTATCACAAAGATTTCTAGTATTGAATCCACATTTCTCGACACTATTTGAAGTTATGCTCTAATTTGATTGTGAGCTTAGGCTTTATACAAACCGCACCCTTTAATAATACAGTGTTACAAGTCCTCGAACTTTTTTACCATAAAAAATCAAGGCCGTCAATTCAGTTTGCATTGTTTATTTGGATTGTATAATTTGAGACCATTTGTTGTTGGTACAAAGAGGTCAAAATTACCTATAACCAAAATGAGGCAACTTGGAAGCGACATGGAGTTCAAAAAAATTTCTTTTGAGCTTTGAACAGAGCCAGAGCCAATGGAGTAAATGTTGCCACTCAATTTCATGTCTAATGGAAACAGTTAATTGTGAGGTCCATGAGCAAAAAAAAATAAAATTTGACCTCCATGTACACTCAATTTCTTTTTTTAATTTATTATCAGGCTTGAGGAGGTTGCTATAGGGACCATCAGTAGTCAGGCTAAAGTTGTGGGCACTCTAGTTGGAGTTGGAGGTGCTATGTTGATGACTTTTTACAAGGGATTGGCGATTCACATGCAGTCATCGTCAGTACAGTTGATGAACGCTTCTTCTCCATTGTCGCCTCACAAGCCTGGTAATGGTCACGTGATCGGCTCGTTACTCGTTGTTGCGAGCTGTTTCTCTTTTGCGATCTGGTTGATTATTCAGGTGATTCATAAAAACGCAATTTTCCTAGTTTCCCATTGACCTTTGGTACTGATTTTGCCTCTTTTTTTTTTTCTTTTTTGTTTTTTGTTTTGTTCTATTCTTTTTTATTTTATTTCCTCTTACTCTATCTCTATATATCTTTCTCTCTCTCTCTTTGGGTCTTTTGTTTCGTGCTCTCTCTCTCTCAACAGGCCAAGTTAAGTGAAAAATTCCCAGCCTACTACTCGAGCACGGCATTGATGTGTTTTATGGCAGCAGTGCAATCATTCTGTTACGCAAAGATTATGAATCGGAGTTGGTCGGCATGGAAACTTGGATGGGATGTCAAGCTTCTCACCGTTGTCTACGCCGTACGTTCTTCCTCCATTTTTCTCTTAAGGTCCAACAGATTTTTGGTACTTGTAGTTTTCATCTAGCCATCAACATGGGAACAATGATTTTTCCCAAAGAAATGGGGAAATTTGAGCTCCTCCATTTTTTGACGAACACAAGCTGTCCATTTGTTTGGGACAGTAGATCTATGTCAGTAATTTGTATGGCTTTGTTATAAGTGTTAGGATATGGATATCTCGGGTTCATATTGATATACATCATTATGAATATATATGTATATCAACATGAATCCGAGATATCCATATCTTAAATAAGTAACTAATAGCTTGTTACAGGACTGTGTTTGTTTGTGTGAGTTTCTTACACGTTCCTAATTGCTTGTGATAAAACTGATCAAATCTGAACAAGCCTCTTTCTCTCTATCTCTTAACGTTTTGTTTTTTTGTTTTTTTTTCAGGGTGTTGTGGTATCAGCTCTTCTAGTGTCGATGATGTCTTGGTGCATAAGGAGGAGAGGGCCACTGTTCGTGTCAATGTTCAACCCGTTGATGCTCATACTTGTTGCCATTGCTGGTTCCTTCTTCTTAGGCGAGACTCTCCACCTTGGAAAGTAAGCTTCATACTCCAAATAATGTGGATTAGTTTATGTTTTACAGTCTCTGATAAGGGGAAGATGCTGCAGTTTATCCCGAGTGGTTTACTGTTCTGGTTCTTTTATTGTTGGAAAAGTCTTTTATTATTGGAAAAAGGAAAATTTATGTCCCTACTATTTTTTATATGGTAATTTTAGGAAGGTCCAATTTTTTTGCAAATTTTACATGGAGGTCCACTTGTTATTTTGTCTGAATTTGCCCTCATTCTGATATTTGAAATCTCATACCTATTTTTATTTTATGTTTTTTAAATATTTGAAGTGTAGGTACCAGTCCAATGTCCTATCCTCCGATGCTTGTCTTGTTACCGGTTCTAGGTTTGGAACATTAGGCCGCTTAAGTATGTGGTCCAATGTTGGAGACATCGTACCAAAAAATTTTAAAAAAGAAAGCAAAATTTTTTAAAAAAGAAAGCGAAATAGGGTGCTCCGACATCTTTAGTATTGGACCCACCAAACGACCAACTAAGATTTCTACTAACATAATATCCTGTGATCTAGATATTTCACTGGACCATAAATTTTTGTAAAATATTGCATTGTTTCCTTAGTTCCATTAGTACTCTTTCTCTTCCAAAATATTCAGTCTAGCTGAACTCTTAAGACTTCATTACAATATTTTAAATTGTTGTAATAAATTGGGGCCTTTGTAGTAGGGCGGACCACCTAAGACATAAAGAGCTCCAATACCATGTGATGTTTCCTATATTCCAACAGTTACTTACACTTAAAGAAAAAGAAAAAAAAAAATGGTTTGATGTTTGGATTATCATATTGAAGAGAAACATTAGAAAAATTTGTCGTCTATGCAAAATTTTATCTAAGTCTTAGGTTAAAAATTTATTTTCAAGCAGTAACACAAAAAGAAGAGATAAAATGGCTTTTTCAAGGTGCAATCGTCTTTGCAATGACACATTATGTTTTGGAGAAATTTAAGAAGGATAGAGATGTTTTTCACCATGCCATAATTTGGATACTTGTAAGCTTTGTGTTTGATTATTATTTATTTTCTTTCTTTTTTTTTTTGACAAAAAATTAGTATTTATTTTCTTTGTGTGAAATTTTTGCCTTGTTTTTGGGCTGTTGCAATTTTGTGTTCCTTTATATATCTAATTTTCCTTCGCTGATTTTTATCACAGCATTTTGGGCTCGATTTTGATCATTGCTGGCTTATACATGGTGCTATGGGGCAAGAACAAGGAGATGAAAATGGATGAAGCCCAACTTCCCGTAACTGAACCTTCTCATGACAGCGTTAAAGAAGGAAGCACAAGTCCGGACCACCCAATACTTGTTATAGGGTGTAAACCCCAACCTCTTGCACCTGAATTGGGTACAAGTGGAAGCACCTCTCTTCATTTTCATGGAACTAAGCCACTCATTTGGGGTCCTCTTTTTTCAAGGGTTAATTCATTGTCACCCTTGTTAGTTCGCCAAGTTCTTGCTGTGTAAACTTTAGGTTATATTCATAGTGGCTTTTATTAGGGTGTCATCAGGTTGTCATCCGTTTGCACAATATAGACGATCAGGTTGTCATCCGTTTGCACAATAATCGGAAAAACGATGATGATGATCAATTTTTGCTTTATGTAGTTGTAACTTGAGTTTATAGGGTATAAAAAGGTTCAAGCAATCTCGGTAATGTATTTTTTTTTTTTGGGTATAAAAAAGTTCAAGCATTCTCAAAGCTGGGCAACGTTTTTTTTTTTTAATTCAATCCTATGATGAGTTCAATCCTATTTATGCCAGTGACATATACAGTGCCTGAAATTGTTGTTCTGACTCGGAACGCTCAAGTTGGGTTCGTATCATTAACCCAGTGATTATTGTAAAAGGAGCTGGGGAATTTGCTGATTTTTTGACTTTTCAACTTCTATTTATAATTTCTTTGTTAAACACGGCCTGACCCACCTCAGGAATCGTTATGTGGTGCATTGGAATCGGAGTTCGGAGGTGGGAACTGGTTCAGGTCTTTTGAAACACTAACATGTACATGATATGTGGCCTGTTATCATCTTCTTTTTTCGGCCTTTTCAATTAGCTTGTGCTACAACCACAGTAGGTACCCAGAGGGAGGATCAATTGAGCCAAAATGTAGCAATTATTTTTAAAACAATTGACTCCAAATATTTAGTAACATCAATTATCAGCAAATTACAATTTCAATATCATCATCTGAGCCTTACCTAGGGTCGGCTAATTACAGTTTAAATATAGGGACTATAAGAGGTCTAAGTAAAGTGGCTAATTACAGTTTAAATATAGGGACAATAAGAGGTCCAAGTAAAGTGGCTTTTTCCTAGTACACAAGCTTAATCTCGTGAATCATTGTGAAATTTACCGTATAAATATAGGAACTAGAAGAGGTTTTAAGTAGTGGCTTTTTCCTAGTACACAAGCTTAATCTTTGAATCACATAATCAATGCTTCTTTCTCTTTGTTTCTCAAACCGTTTCATTGAAATCCACAGGCACTTTTTCCTCTTTGCTCTTTCCCCACAGAACGAAGTAGAGTCCGATTATTAGCAAAGCTCCTCCCAATACGCTACAATGCATAAACATCATCACCAGTTAAGACAACGGCCTTCGATTGGGATACAATTCTAGTATTTTTTTTTTAAAAGAAAAAGTTTATATTCGGGCATGTAGTGGATAGCTCATGCGGGCATACCCGCGTAGTGACTGCATCCTTCTAAAAGACGAAACATAATTCAATATGATGATTTTCAATAATGAAATAATTTTTGGTATGCCAAATTTTGCATTTTTTAGGTTAAGATTTAGCAACATATATATTTCAATGATTTCATTTAAAATGTCTTTTATGAAAGGCAATTTAATTTTCTAATTAAATTATAATAAGAGTGTAACCTGAAAATTCAATTATACTAAGAGTGTACTATGGAATTATTGTTTCCAAAAAAAGGGTTAAGGCAAGTTCATACCAGAGAGGTAGGAACAATGGGAAACATATTAAGAGGACAGGGTATTGGTGCACAAGCTAATGCACCAATTCAAAATAGGGTCTTCGTAAAATCAATCTTATAGGTGGATTTTGGAACTAGAAGTTTACAACTTTCCGTGGAACCTATTGAAATGTGTTCTCCATCAAGAGTGGATCTTAGATATGGTTTTTGAAAATAAAGGTTTACTTGTTCCTGATACAACTACTCAAATGTGATCTCCATCAAAAATCAATCTTAGAGATGGAAGCTGAACTTTTAATTACAGGTTGATAATCCCAACCATATGAATCTCAAAAAAGATAAAAAAATATAGTTTTTGAATTTTAAAGACCATCCAATTTTGAATCATTCATGGCCATTCATTTAATTCTCAGCAAACCATATTAACATTGTATTTTTTGAGCTGCAAAATCATGTATCTGAAGTGGAAGTGCATCTAGAGTGATGTAGGATGATTAAATCTTAAATCCATCGCCGATATAGATTTTTGGAAGGGCGCCGCATTTGAACATGACCTTATTCAAACTTTTCCTTATCTCCAATTATATTCACGAGATATTTGAGAAAAATGAATGAAGAAATTTGGCACTACAGGAAAAAGGGACTAGAGTTCATGATTGGAATCTTTGTTCTCTCTAATATGATAATCGCTACCCAAAGGATTGGGGCTTGGGCTCGATTGATTAGCAGTTGATGTCAAGTAAGGCAACATTTCAATTTCGATTCGTACCGCAGAGCTACCCAAAAAGATAAAAAGAAGCCGCTACACATGTTCCTGAATTTGTATCTTAAAAGGAGGAAAACAAGAAGGAAATTATGGAAATTTAATATCAATGAAATGTGAAATACCTTCCCAAATAAATAAGCTGACTCCATACGATGGTGGAAAAAATAGCAGTTATGAGAAGAGCAAGTGGAGTAAACATGGCCATGAAGACAGGACCTTTCTTCTCTATACACCACACTTGTAGCCAGAAAGATATCCCCGTGACCACGATCCCCTGTAATGTGCACCTCAGCTTATTATTATGTTTTATTTCTCTAAATTTTATACACCTACTTAAACTATGTTGAAAACTCAGTAAGCTTAACTTCTAGGGCAAAAATAATTGACAATAAGTACTTTATTTTTCTAGCGAGGGTATCTCATGCTTGTTGATAGAAATTGAAATTCTTGTGTGCATACCAGTATGGTCCCTTTGAGATAAGAAATATATGTGTCGTTTTCAAAGTCTCTCCATGATGACTAGTTCTCCTAGGATATATTCTGTATAAAGTAATAACTGCATTAAGTATTGGGTGAAGTTTATACTGTATAAAAGGTGCCCTTCTTATACTGTAGAAGTAACACGCAGCTCTAAATTTTACCTAGAGAAGTAGCTCCAATGTCAGAAATTTTACTTAAAAATTTATTTTTTTCTCTAATTATGAAATTTAATATTTTAAAAATATTACAGATCGAGTAGATCTATAAACACTTAAAAATCTTGAAAATAGTGGTACAAAAAAATGGTTACAAGATGTGTTATTTTTAAGACTTGAAATACTTTTTTTCTTCGTATATATACATCTCGAGGTCAAGATGATTAATTGGAGGATTTCTTAAAATCCGAACATCCTCTCTAAGAAATTTTTGAGGTGCACCTTACATCTGACATGAAATATAAAAATTCAGGGCCAACTTGGACATTCTATCCCTACATGAATGGGGGTCATTCATGGTTAGGGGAAATAGAAGGTTGTCCTTTTTATAGCATGCGAGCAAGACAAATCTACTGTTTTCTAAGCAAGTGGTGAAGAGAAACAGCACTTACTCATGAATAACTCAATAGTTCCAAAAGATGATTTTTACTATTCATAAATTAGTGTCCATAAGAATGAGACTTAACTCGCACGTCCGAACAGGATCTAAAAAACTGTAAAAACACAATGGTTTGTTTTAAGCAATGCCTTAGTGAGAGAGAGAGAGGGTTATACGCAGTAAGCCACAGAGATGAGTTTAAGGTCCCATCCGAGTTTCCAGGAGTTGGGGCTCCTCTCAAGGGCAAGCGCCACAAGTGCAGATTGAAGAGAACTAAAGAGACATTGCAGCGTTGTCAACAGTAAATTTGAACCACAACTCATAACAAGAGGACCCTGCAAAACATATAACATCTTGTCACTCAATTTTGTTTTCCTTTCGATGGTAATATTTTTTTTGGGATTGTATACAATGAGACCATATATCTTTGGTAATTTTTGTTGGGACCGTATATAATGAGACCATTTATCTTTAGTACAAGGAGATCATAATTACTTATAACCATTCGATGTAAAATCTGATAGCTTGGGTGCATCGTAAAGTTCGAAAAAATATCTTTTGAACTTTAAACTTGGTCAATGGAATAAATGCAGCCACCCAATTTACATCCAATGGTCAAGATTAATTGTGACCACCTTGTAACAAAGATAAATGATCTCATTATATACTTTTCTATTTTTGTATTCATTTCAATGATATATTTTTTTATTTACATGATCATTGGATAAAAATGGAGCCCTGGATGTTGTATGGCTCTATCATCCTGCCAACCCAGGCCAAAGGATTATTCATTTTTAAATCATAATTTTTAAACTTAGTTGCATCATAATTTTTAAGACTCAAAACTATCATTAAAAAAAATAAAAAATAAAAAAATAAAAAAATAAAAAAAAGAGGCTTTTTCAAAAAATAATGTACATATTTGGTAAATCCACCATTTGTAATATAACATTTACCTTTATATTTGTAAGGGTTGTTAAAAGTAGAATCCCCTTGTGTGTTTATAAAGCTAATAAGTGGTTATCACTTAAAATGAATAATAGTTTAGGTTACGCTCCAAGCTATAATAGTTTAGGTCATGCTCCAAGATGTTAGATGATGATATAACTTATATTACTGTTTGAAAATATATATTATTATTTAAATTTTAATCTTTTTCTATAAATCAAGTCAAAATTAAATTTTGCGCAACTATACTAAATAATAGAGCACACAAGAAAAAATCAAACAAATATATTTCAAAATTCAAAATAACCATATTATGACTGAAAAATATATATATATATATTTTTATACTTTGTATTTTGGTGAGTTGAAGAGAGAGGCACCTGCAATACAAGCCACAAAGACCATGTCGCATTGGCAGCAAGCAAAAGAAAAGTGCCCTTTATCCAATCTCTACCAGAAGCAACATCAATATGAGAGGCAACCGTGTGGGTCTCTCCAAGAGTGAGATGATGTTGATTTAAAGGAGGGCCTTTGTATAATGCAATTATTAAGGCTCCTCCCATGCACACCATAACACCTATCACCTTTGCCAGTCCCCGTAGGCTCCTAATGTGTACACTCTCCACTCTGCAAAGAAGAAGTAGAAGAGAATGCTTAGAATGTCTAAAAATTTCAAATAGGAAATATGTTATTCATATTTGAATAGGATATCCTCGTCAACATTTCTACCAAATTTCCTCAAGTTCAGCAAAATACTCTCTTAAAAAAGAAAAAGTGAATCTAATGTTCAATTACTCTGGCCATCCAACTCGGACTCGCCCAATTAACTTGAAATGGCTACCCTGATAATTCCAAGTATCCTCGAGTTGGATGGTCAGCTCGGTGATCTTAAAAAAAATTCAAAAAAAACATAAAAAATAAAAAAATTTATTTGTAATATGTATTTTTATATTTTCTATCATTTTGGTAAAGATTAAAAAATATTATACTTATTTTTTGGATTATTTCTAGGATACCCCTTTTACAATTTTATTTTTTCCAAAATCCATTTTCATTACTTTTTTAACCTCATGTAGATATGTTCTGTTTAGTTATACTTTAAACCTATCTTTACCTATTTTTAAGGATTTTTTATATAGTTTCTTCTTCTTTTTAACGCTTTTGGCTTGGCCAAGATCCTGCCTTACTCCACCAGAGTTACTCGGCCGGGCCATGGACCAAGTCCGTCCCCTGAGTCGTGGTTTTGAGCACTGAGTCAATACACATAAACCAATGTATAAAGGGGTCACCTTTTGCAAGAGCCATCCATGACAGTATAAATCTATAATAATAGAAGTAAGGCTAAAGAAATGGAAAAGGTAAAAGAGTTTTCATGTCTAACTCTACATATGTTTCAATTTTCATTTGGAGTGAATGCCAGAGGCCTCACTCTCTCTCTCTCTCCTTCCTGTGCATGACGTCAATCTGTTTCTACTATGGCCCTTGATTAGATCAGTAATTCAAAAGGTCATTGAAAGAGGACCACCAATTAATTATCCTTCAACGCCATAAAACTCGAAAACCGAAATAATGCATGCCACAATAAAGTTTCGTATTTGTTCCTCGAAAAAAACCATTTAAAGACTGATTACGACATTATATGTTCTTTCTTTTTCTTTTTCTTCTGATGAGGATTGTGATTGACCGTCCCATTCTCCAAACAGTGCTCTGACTTCATACGAATCTGAAATCAATTATGTGCTTCCGTGGGAGTAAAATGTGCATTTGCTCCGGAAGTCCTTTACCGGAGACCCAATGGAGTAAATGAATTTCGTGCTCCCGCAGGAGAATACTATTCGTGCTTTAAATCAATCAACATAATTTTGGTGATTATATGCACCAAAGTAGGCCTCCTCGCTCTTTTGTGCCTTACTAGCGTGTTGCCTGCTCCAAACTTATTACTTTCTGATGCAATAGCTTGAGAAGATCTAAGGGTCTGGGTGAAAGGGAAGCAGTGTGAAGGATGGACCTTCTTTTCTCGCATTCATAGGCACTATCTGCCCCTACTGATCAACCTGGGTGCAAAAAGTTGGATCGGGCAAAGTAGCCCTTGAGATATCCAAAAATAAAACACCTCAGTATAGATTTACCAATTTGATGCACTGAAATTGCGAATCTGAAATGCACCAGTGTTGCCTTAATTTTTATAGAGAGAAAGAAAGTTATATATAAATAAAATTCGGTAAAAAACTGCTAAACCACACTATATGTACACTCTGCAAGTCGCATACTTTGCATGCTCTGTACAAGCATCACACTCTCCCCTCTTTCTTCATAAAAGACTAGGAATTCTTACCCTATAAATACACCACTTTCCTTTTTATATTCTTCAACATGGAACTAAAAAATCACTACCACTCTCTCCAGGATGAAATATTTCAGAAGGATTATAGTATTATATTATGCTATTTCAAAATATTAGTATTTTACATAACTAAAATACTAGCAAGGGCACTTTTTATGTTATGAGATTTCTTCTTGCTTGTGACCACCAAATAAATAAAGTACTCCATGCTCCCCTTTTTGTCCTAGCTTTCTTTCTTCCATTATTTCTATTTCATGAGCTACTTCGCTAGAACGTCTTTGTATCAATTGGTATCAGAGCAAGTTCTACGGGAAAATTCTAACTATGGGAAATAGTATTTCAATCAATTATGACTACTAAAGGAAAATACTGGAATGACCTTATGGAAAAAGCATGCTCAAAGAGATGAGATTTTGTGGGAGTGGGCTAGGCATGCTGGTCGACTAGCCCAAATTGTTGGTGACTTGCATCAAGAACGAGCCCATATATGCATAAACTTAGCTGATGTACCCGCCAACACTCAACTCCTTTCACTTTTGAACTTGCATCGTTGTCGTGCAGGAATGAAATGAGGATGCATAACTTGCACATGAGGATGTGACTTTGTTCTATCTCAAATCAGTTTAAAGCCCAGCTTTTGATCTTATGGATGATCCTATCTTTGATTATCTTTCGAATAAAAAGGATGAAACTGTTGCCAATGTAATTGGAAAATCTTACTCATTGATTCATGGAAAATAGTCGTTCTCAAGTAGTTGGGAAAAGGCTTTGACGATGATACTGATTGATTCATGGAAAATCAAAGGAAATGATCTCCTTCCTTGTAGGTGATGTAAACTGGGAGACAAATATTTGGAAGACTAAGCCAGTATCAAACTATTTTTTTCATTTTTTAGTTTTACCAAGCGTATAATGTGAATTAAAATGAAATAATCAAAGGTCGTGGTGTATTTAGTATCGAGCTACTAAAAGTGATAGAAAAGATACAATGAAACAAAAATAAAAATAAAAAATCAGAAAAAAAATATAGAATGACGGTTCACCGAAAGAGGAGAGCCAACAAAAAGGTCATGACCGGTACTGAGTTCGTAGTTGCACTGGCAAGCGTTGCCGAAGTGTATTTTAGTCCAATGCAGTATATGTTTAAACTCGAGGTTATCCTGCGCCAACAATACATTGCACAGTTCAGAATTACAGTGTAAGCTCAAAGTTTTCAAAAACTTGTTTAAAAATGAAAATACCAATTGACACACCACAAACTGTCATATTGCAATTCCAAGACAGGAGTTGTTGCTTTCTTATGAATTGATTTTATGAGATCTTTGTAATATTTTCCCTCTTTTAATATATTTATTAATTTCATAAATTAAAAAAAATGGATCAGATTGCACATCTGACAGCTAGGGCTGATTATGACCGCTTTATACCAAAAGTAAAAAAGTTCTGGTAGATACATGAGAGAAAGAGAGCTCATTTCCAAAACCTTTTTATTTGAGTAATTCATTAGCGAAAACAAGCCCCTACCAATTTCTTCAAATAGTTTAAGAGTTAGTTTTTTTCTAAAGTGTTAATGGGATAGTGTCAGAATAAAAACCGCAACATGGGGACTAGGGTGCGGTATTAACCCAGCCCCTTTCCCCATTTTCATAGCTACTCTAAGTAGTTTGGCAACAACAATATATTTGGGGCTCAATTGTAATTGGGTATCGATTCAAATTTGAATATTCAACACCACTGAAGGTCAAATTGCAAGGAGCCAAATCTCAAATTAACCCAAATCGTAATTTGGTCTTAATATCAAACTATATTGCATAGCTAGAGCAAAAATGAATTCCAGTTACGTACCCAAAAAAAGAAACGAAGAATATCTTCAGGAGCACTGTGAATGATAATTGAGGAACCTTCTTCCTGGATGTAAAAGAAAAAGGAGAGGTTAAAAGACAAAGAAGAAAAAAGAAGCATAAAAGAATTACATTTTCTTAAGCAAAATGACAACAAACCAACTTCTCAAACATCATTCAAGAAAAATTAAACTCAAGCGAGTTGGGTGGGGGCTCTCTGAGTTCTCATTCGCTTTGAGGAACTCAGGCGAGCCCGGTGCTGACTCCCCGAGTTTCCTTTCATTTCATTGATTTTAAGGACTCTCTGAGTTCTCATTCGCTTTGAGGAACTCAGGCGAGCCCGGTGCTGACTCCCGGAGTTTCATTTCATTTCATTGATTTTAAGGAAGGGTTAGCAAACCTTTCGAGAAAGTAAGCAAAGGGGGCCAAGAAGATGGTGGCGGTGGCCTGCCTATACGCAACAAACACATATTGATTCATACCCACATCCAAAGCAACTTTTGAGAATAAAGTCATCCCTGCATATATGCATTGTACAAATAGCATGGCCACGTAAGGTTTCTTTCTCTCCAAGGCCTCCAGAGAACAAAAAGGCACCATACTTGTGATTTTCTCCAAACTCAACAAAATAGGAAAATCATAGTCGAAAGAAGTTTTAATATATTTGTATTCCGGACTCGAGGCAGCAAATGCAAGCCCAAAGTACAGCTAAAAATCCTTGTTTGGTAACCTGTATGAATTCTCTAGTGTCTCGGATCCGCTAAGGACCTTAAAGAAAATCAGGTGATATTTATAGTGTTACAAATGCAGACCTCCCTTCTTTGGTCTTTCCTTTTCATGAGTTAAGTCTTTATTTTGAAGAAACCTTTTCTTGAGTAATTTTTAGGTTTTAAATTTAGTGGTTAATATGTGTTGGGCTCTTTAGGATTGGAGGAAAGAAAAAGATGTCGGTGATGTTGCCATTACATAAGCTTTCCGCATAATTTATCACCCTTTACTCCTGGTCCCTTTGTGGATGTGTTTCTTGTGATTGATGGAGAATATGAGGAGTGACTGAGGTTGTGGTGGTTTGATTACGACTGGAGTTGCATGATTTTGTAATAAGTAAGGAAAAGTTTATATAAGGATGCAACCTTATATTGTAGAACTATGGATGCACTTCAAAAATCCATCGAAAAAGGTAGTTTTAATGTTGAAATATTGATCATCTTGACTCGAGATGTATGACCATGAAAAATAAAAAGATTTTCAGTCTCAGAAATAGTGCATTTTACAACATATTATCTACAATGTCCATTTTCAAGATTGTCATATGTTTATAGATCTTCTTTGATTTTAACCATTTTTGGAATTTAAAATTTTACAATTAGATATAAAAATAAATTTTGAGATAATAATAAGAACATTTTACATCAAAAAATATATATGATGATAAAATTTGAAGGTACACCTTACCTCTACAGCTACAAATGCATCCGTATGCCAACTGCACCCTTCTTTCTTTCTTTCTTTTTTTTTTTAAAATACAATCAATAAAACTTCTATCTAAACTAGCATCTCTCTCTCCTCCCCATGGATGTTACATTATAAGGCCATGATGGGATTAAAATTTGATGAAAGGGACTAAAAATCTCTCTCGAGGTCTAAATAACTGATGGAAGTTTGCGTGAAAGTGCAAATCTCTCTCTAGGATGTTTTGTGATAAGCATAAAAGTGGTCAAAATTTGTTGAAAAGAAATAAATCGCTTTCACTCTCTAAGGCATGAGCACATGGGAATTTACATACCAATGCCCATGTGTCCTACAACAAATTCACGTGTTTGAAGTTTGTACCAGCCCACTTTGTTTTTTTTTTCTTTTGGGTACGAGGTCAAGTTTCGTGTATTGTTTTTATTTTTATCATTATTTTTCATATAAATTGGTCACAATTAATCTTGATTATTGGATATGAAATTGGATGGCTGCATTTATTTTATTGGCCAATCTCAAAGTTCAAAAAAAAAATTTCGACCTATCCATGAAAAGAAAATTTTTTCGAATATTGTGATACATCGAAATTATCTAATTTTACATTATATGATTGTAAGTAATTGTGACCTCCATGTATAAAAAGTAAATGGTCTCATTGTAAGAGGGTTGTGCGTAATTGTGACCTCTATGAACGCTAAATAATCTTATTACAATGAAATCGTTTACCGTTCATATATAAAGGTCATGATTACTTACAACTATCTGATGTGAAATCTGATAGATAGCTTACATTATTTTAGGCTTTAAGTTTGATCAATAAAATAACTGCAAACACCCAATATGTTAAGATGAATTGTTGCCTTCTCTTTTCAGAAAAAAGATTGAGAAGGCTGAAGTTTAGCGACCCACGACCAACCATGCATCTAACACGCACGAACTACACGCGTTTATCCTTTTTGAGGTAGGCTCTAATTTGATTGTTTCAAGCCTCGGCTCTATATAAACTTTTCCCATAAGAATGAATGTTAAAGGCCTTTTAACGCTACATCCTAAGCTCAATTCCTAGTAAGGATAGGGGCCCTCTATCCTATGAATCACCCAATAATAATAATAATAATTTCTTGGGAAAAGATATGCCACGAGCATCGAGATAGTATTGCTCCTCTTCTGAACCGCTAGTGATAGGTTTGGTAGTATACGAAGGAACCAATTCTATATTTCGTTAAAAAAGGATTAGGGTATTATAATCACACGGAGAAAAAAGAGGTTTTTGAGAAGCATGATAAGATATATCTATATGAGAATGACTTGGAGCCTTGGCGGTAATATTGTAAAGTTTTATGGCGAGGTCTTTGATTCCATTCTCACCAAAGGTTAGGAGCCCAAATTCCCACTGACTTACCACTTTTGAAAATAGCTCGGGGCCTTGGCGGTAGTATTGTCGAGCCCCATAGTAAAATCTTTGAGATGTGGGAAGGGATCTCCAAGGAGATAGGTTTACAAAAGAGAGAGACATAGCTTTTAAATAGAGAGATTATTCTCACATGGCTTCGGTTTTTTAAATTCCACTTCTAAAGGGAGAAAACCTTTCGGTGCTCTCAGTAATCTTTTTTTAGTAATGTAGAGAGGGAAAGATAAAGTTGATCGGCAGTGTTGTTGGGTGGGATGGTGGCTTTAGAAGGGAAAATAAATGAGGCTTTTACCAATGTTTTTCTTTCTTTTTTTCTTTTACCAATGTTTAGATAGATGTATATCTCTTATAACGCAAAACTGTAATCTTCAGTCGAAATAATGGACTTTTTTAATTGTTGAGACTACGAAAGTGACCCTACAGGGTGAACCACACAATATTTGTGCTATTGTGGTGTGCTCCTATGCTTTATTTTTTCCACTCGACTTGTGATTATATTCATCTAATTAAGGTGCACCTCAAAAATCAACCATAAAAGATTGTTTTGATGTTGGGAAACCTTCCAATTGATCATCTCGACATCGAGAAGTATGATATGAAAATTAAAAAGATTTTGAGTCCCATAAATATTATATCTTGCAACACATTATCTAAACCGTCCATTTCAAGATTTTCATGGGTTTAGATATCTACTCGATTTGAGTCATTTTTAGAGTTTAAAATTTTATAATTAGATATGAAACAGATTCTCAAGTCATCCTAAGAATTTTTTACATGAAAATTACAATTATGAAAAAATTCAGAGGCGCACCTTAAATTGATTGTTAAAGATCACACCTTATACAAACCACACGCCTAATAGAAACTTATTGATAATAAATAATAAATTTAGGAAAAATATACAAAGAGATCATTTACTTTCAGCCAGTGGTTTAAAAAATGGATAAGTGACCCGGATCGGGCATTCCAAAAACCCATCTGGATCTGTGAAACCGACTCGGTCAAATTAAGCTTTAAAAAAATCCAAAAAAATTATTAAAATTCATTATAAATGTTGTCTTTTAGGAATCCAATAAGAAATAAGGGTACTATATTGTTAACTTTCATTTTATTCTATCAATTTGTGAATGTTGAGATGTTCTTTCCCTGTATAAACTTATGTTAACCACTAAATTTACATCACACAAAAGAAAAATCATAGAATTATCATGGACAAAGTATATAATCATACATAGACTACAATAAAGAGTAGACTAAATCGATAAAAAAATGGCCACTAAAATCTTGAATTGGTGGAAAACCCTAATCCGCTAAAAAAACTCAAATTATTACAACCTAACTAACTATAATCCAAAATTGTTACAACCTAACTAACTATAATATTATATACTGAAATTAAAATTGTTGGTTTACATTTTATAATACAAATAATGACAAATCCAGAATATTTTATAATATCATCAAATTTAAAATGTATTATTGACAACGGTAAGAAAAATAGTACATTACATGATTTATAATGCAAAAATTAATAAATAAAATAAAATAAAAGATTTGGTTATCAATATGGAAATTATTAGAATGTGTACCAATTTTCGAAATAACACTTTAATTTTTCAAAATTTTAATTTTTTAGATTTCTAGAATAAATTTAGTAAAAGAGATTGTTAGTAGAAAGAGAGATTTCAAATGGAATAAACCAGTGGTTTAAAAAATGGATCGGTGCCCTAGGGTGTATTATCAGAACCTAACTAACTATAATATTACATTATATATTCCTTTAAGAAATACTTGTTGTATTTATAAATATATTTTAGTTTTTTTGACAATAAATATTTGTTGTAATATCCTTTTTTTTTGCTAAGAAAAATATGATACTTGTTTGATTACTTTTTATTTTATTTTTTGAAAAAAAAAATTAAGAAGATGTTATGCTATATTTTTTTTTTTTGTCTAAGATTTTATTTTATTTTTGACAAGAAATATGTTATATACTTTCTTTTTTTTTACAAGAAAAATAAAAAGATGCATTATTATTTTTTTACCAAAAATGCTTGTTGTCTTACCTTCTATTTTTTACTTTTTTCTTTTTATTTTTTTACAATAGATTTTTTTCTTCTATTTTTTATTTTTTTTCCTTTTATTTTTTTTACAACATGATTTTTTTTCTTTAACGTTTTTAAAAAATAAAAATAAAGCCTCAATGGGGTATTTTTTTCCTTTTATTTTTTTTACAACATGATTTTTTTTCTTTTACATTTTTAAAAAATAAAAATAAAGCCCCAAAGGGGAATTGCGCATGGGAGGAATTAAGGGTGGGAAGCACAAGACAAAATCCACAAAGCTAACCTCCTCCACCAATTCGTCACATTATGCAAGGTTGTAATAAATATATACATGCTATTAGTTTTGCAACTCTAATTTTGTCCCACATCGAAGGACGAGAGCACTAAAATGTTTTATAAATAAGAACGCAATAAATGAATGTCGTGCATGTGGAGGTAAAGGGGCGATGTGTCACGTGTTAATGTGTCTCGAGACGCGTGAGGTGGGGCTAGCACGTGTCCACTAGCTAGAAACTGGCGTGTCCGCTAGCTAGAAACCGGCGAGTCTAATATTGAGAATAGAAACCGGCGAGTCTACTATTGAGAATCGGTGATATTTTGCCGAGGGGGTCACAATCCCTCTTGCCTTTTAGATTTCAAATGGGGTGGCTGTGAACATGTTCTTGAATGGGGTGGCTATGAGCATATTCTTGACTAAACTCAAA